GCAAAAACTTGACCCCCTACTTCATTTCTAACCCTTGTGCCCCAAGGATGTCCTTCCTGGCTGCCGTGGAGAAGCACTGCGACCGCCCTCAGCCAAGAGCCGCAAGGGGACCCAGGCCCGGCATCGGGAAGCAACCGGTAGAGGTTCACAGCAGGTCTTTTCAATGTTGATCTCAACCTCGGTATCCCTCTCTCTTTTAGAACCACACGGAACGATGTGACTGCTCTGTGTGGAGGGGGCTTCAGGGAGGGGGGCAGAGTATGACAAAGGACTGTGGGCGGAGGGTGGGAGAGTCCCTGCTTCCCTCTTGAAACCTTGCCTTGGCTGACACTAGGGCAGGCTCTGCCGCTTGCCCTCCCTCCCAGCTGACTCCTCTGTCAACCCAGTGACACCGATCCTCCTTTCCAGAAAGATTATTCAGACAAGTGCAAAAATGGAGAGGAATGCAGGGCTACAAGTAGCTCCGGCTGTAGGCATGAGGTTGACAGGGATAAAAAGCCACTAAAATTATCCCGGCACAGAAAGGGGCTGGGACCCCACAGCTGCTGGGCCTCTTGCCTGTTATGGTAATATTCCACCCTCTGGGCCTCTCCCAAGCTTCATTATGGCACCCAACACATTTAGAAATGATTTGATGGCCTTGTGTAATGCTGGAAAAATAACACGGTGACAGGGCCACCAAACCCTCCCTAGTCCCTGGCCATTCTACCGTATGATGCCCAGAATTTTGGCGGAGTTACTGGGTCACAACCAGATGTGTCCCTTTCTTGTTTCCTCATCAAGTCAAGATTACCTAGAGAACAGCCTGCTTGGTGAAGGCCATGGGTAGAAGCGGAGAAGCTGTTCCTCTCCAGACGCACCTCTAGGAACCAGGGTGTCCTGGTTTCTAGTCTGTGGCAATGGTGGGACCTGGGATGTGGAGGGGGAGGGAGGGCTCGGAGCTTCGGTCCTTTCTGTACCCCTTCCTCACGCAGCCCTCCATTTAACTTTCCACCCTTGCCTCTCTGGCCCCTCTGGCCCCTGTAATCCCCTACCCAGTCCTGCAACCCAGAAGGTGGGGTTTAGGAGGAATCAGGGACACCTTGTAACACCTCAGTTCACTTGAAACTTCAGCCATAAATAAATAAATAAATAAATAAATAAATAAATAAATAAATAAATAAATAAATAAATAAATAGAAAGAAAGAAAGAAAGAAAGAAAAGAAAAAAGAAAAAAGAAAAAAAGAAAAGAAAGAAAAGAAAAGAAAAGAAAACTTCAGCCAAGATGCCCGCCCTCTAGATTCCCCTCCTGACCTCCAAACTGGGAAAAGAAGTGGTAGGGGCTTCGACTACCAAGGATGGTTATGGTCTTCCTGGATTGGCTCATGTCAAGTGGTCCACAGAAACCTGAAAGCCACCTGGGCTCCCTCGATGGTCAAACTCTTCCAAAGCCACCCTCCCCCGGTTGTGAAAAAGAAAATCCCTGACCCACTAGGGGGAGTTGATAGAGCAAGACTCCTGGGAACCAGTGCTGTGCCCAGGAGAAAGGTGTGGGGAAAGGATAAGGGTCTGGGGGGTTCCAGAACTGGTTGCAACTACTCTTCGCCATTTTGGAGAAGTTTATGTTTTCACTGAACCACAAGCTGTCATCACCTCTGTGCTCCCGGGGCCTGCCTGCTGGGGCTGGGATCAACTTCGGGGCGTGGAGGGAAGTGGGGGGTGGCACTGAACCCCCATCTTCCTGCAGGTCTTTCTTCCTGACCCCTCCGGTGATGACTGCCCTCTCCCTACTGACTTTCTCCCCATCCCCAGGCCTACTTCATGCCTCTGGGCCGACAGGAGGGGCAAGGGCCCATGGGGACCCGGCACTAGAAGGTGGCTTTGCACTCACAACTGCGGCAGTTTAAGAGCTGTCCTCTGCAGGCGCAGGCGTGGTCGCTTGCCTTGGCTGTGTGACAAAGTAGCCAGAGATTAGGGTATGGACATGGCCTGGCGGGGACTGAAAACCAGTTTCTCTGCTTGGCCCCTAGGACCAGACGGGCCCTTCCCAGAGTGTCTTCGGTAGAGCCCAACCATGGCAGTGAGGCCAGGGTCACAGGCTTCACCTCAGCACCTCGGTCTCCAGAGGCCCAGGCAGGCCTGGGGAAAGCTGAGCCCCGGAATCACACTCAGCCTCATCTGCCCCCCTCAGCAGACTGGGGTGCCTGCACCCTGACATTCTGCTGCTGTGTTTAGAGTCAACCCCCAAATCAGTTCTCGCATCCTGATTGAGCAAACTGTGGCTCGCCAAGAGTGGTCCCTGGACCAGCAGCATCCGCATCACCTGGGAACTTGCCAGAAGAGCAGGTTCTGGAGCCCCACCCAGATCTGCTGAATCACAAACACTGGGGGAAGGGGCCCCGCAGTCTGTTTTAACAAGCCCTCTGGGGGTTCTGTGCTTGCTTAACTTTGAGAACAGGGCGTAGGATCCTTCCATCTGTCCTCAGATGGGCCTTCAGGCTGCGCTGCGTGCAGCCCCTTCTCCACCCCGCGTGGAAAACCCACCCGCTCTTCCTCACTCCCACCTCACGGCGCACCTCCTTCCCCCGCAGGATAAACGCCACGTAATGCCTTTTCTACCCTCTTCTACATGACCTTAAACTCTCCCTTATTTTCCCCCTTCCCTTGCTCCTATGATCTTAACAGCTGGCTCCTGCAGGTGCAGACAGGCCCCTTCACACTCCTGGTCCATCGTCTCCGCCTATTCCTTCCCCGTCTCCTGTTCTGGTCCTTCTTCCTCTGGGCTACTCAGGGCCTGCCAGCTCTTCCTTCCTTCCTCACCGACTTAGCCAGCTATGGCTCCAACTGTCACTTCTAAGTAGATGGCTCTAATGTCATTATCTCTATTCCTCAAACTCAGCTCTGCATTCTCAGCTGCTTGTAGGACGCTCGCCTGGGATGCCGGACAAGTGGCTCAAATCCCACAAGCCCAGGCTCAAATGCACTTTCTTCTTCTACTGTTCTCAGACCACCACCACCTAGTGTGGCATCTGATTTCTGTCTCCATGACCCGTGTCTGAGATCCTGCTGGCTTTGCCATCTCTGGACACTCACGGTTAACTTTTTCTGGTTAAAAATTTAACATGCCTTGGACTGCAAAGTTCCTGGGGATGCAAGTAAAATGCACGCAACAAAAATGGTCTGAATAACCCACACTGCCATTCCGTGCATAAATCCATCAGGTGGCATACTCAGGACTTTAGGGTTTAGAGGGCAAAGCAAGGCTTTATGGACAGCTCAATGTCTGCGGCAGACTTGAAGCTCCTAAGGGAAGACTTAGCCCTCCTGGGGCAGAAAAGCTAACAAACCAGAGAAAAGGGCCCCTCCTCTGCTTCTTGAGTAACCAGATTCCTACTTCTGGGTCACTGGTTCTATGCTTCATGACCCTCTGGGAAGGGTTCACATGTGCGCAGCCCTCTGAGACAACTGCTACTTTGTTCAGGGATGCCAGTGAATGGATGACTGCATCAGAGCGGGGGAGAGATAGGGGTGGGGTGAAGGTTAGGGTCAAAAGGCAAGGGCAGTAGTCAGCAGCAGAGGCAGGATTAGGGTCAGGGGCATGTACAAAAGATCCGAAGCCATCTCGCTCCCTGAAAGGACAAAGCCATGCTGAAGCCTCCATGTTTTCCAGCTTCTCTTGCTGCAGGAGCTCCCAACACTCCCCTCTACCCTCTTCTCCCCTCCCCTTTCAAAGCCTGGACCCCAGTTATCTCAGCCAATACCTTCTGGCTGTAAGTTCAGCACCCTGGCTTTGGGAGTGGGAAAGAGGGTAGAGACAACAGGGAATCTTCCTCGGAACGCACACTTGGTCCTGTCCTATTCTTCCAAAACCAGAACCCACACTTCCCTCCCCCACCACCTTCCCAGAGCCAGGAGACCTGCGTTCCAGCCCGTCCCATCACTGACCAGCTACAAGACAACACAAGATAACAAGCCTTGTTTGTGTTCTGGTTTCTTCCTTTGAAAGTAAAGACTCAAACTCTCCTTCCTTAGTCTACAGGATCGATGCGACAACAATTACATGCGTGTGAAAAGCAGTTCACCACGAGCTAACCGCCCTCACTACATCTTCTAAGTTGATCTTATGGCTCCTTGAGAGACAGGCAGGGAAAGCATTCTTGTCCTCTTTGACGGAGGAGCAAACTAAGGTTCCTAAAAGCTTTGCCCAGGCCACAAAGCTAACACAGGCGGCAGAGCCGGGCTCACCCTAGGCCTCCGTCCACTGAACCCCACAGTCCCTGGCAGGGCGAGAGCCTACTGTGACCCAGCATGTTGCTGGTATGAAGAAAAGTGGTGTTTTTTCCCCTGTATAATTATGGCCCAAATATTTGCCAGGGGATTATCACTGGTTACTCTGGGCTTCCTCAGTATCTCCAATCTGTCATTTCTCAAGCGGTTCATTTTGACCTTAAAAAGTAGGTGTGGAATCACCAGCCTCAGAGCTAAGACAGAGATAGGAGAGTCGGCAAGGAAGAGGATGAGCCTGTGGGTATTTCTGATGCCATGATCCAAAGAACGGTCATGATTTCTGCTGATTTCTGCACGGAGGGCTATAGGGTTTTAGGGAAGTTTCATCAGTTCTAACCATCCCATCTTCTGGCTAAGGGAACGTAAGCCTAACATCATGTAGCTCACAAGGACCCGACCCGGCTCCAGACCCAGGCTTCCTAATTCTAAATCCATTGCTCTTCCCACACTGCCAGGATTTGGGGATATCCTTCAATCTCTTGCAGTCCGGAGCTTGTCCCTTGATCTGAGTCCATAACTGGCAGTGGTGGCGTCAGAGCAAGGGGAATCAGAGGCATAGTGGATCCTTCTCTACAGGGATGCCCCCTGAATGCGGGCCGGTCCTCTTAGAGAGCTCTGTCTGCTTCAGATGCCACACCCAGGACAGAGGTTTGTCCCCTCGGGCCAGGACAACCCCCCCCCCCCCGGATGTGTGTACTGGGCCTTTAGCTGGGGAAGAGGTAACACTACTCACGATTTGTCTCTCCTGCCGAGCCGTCTCGGGGGGCTCGCCTGTCTCCTTCGGGGGGACAGGGATTTCCCCCGGCTTCTCACTTGGGTTGGAGAATGGGCACTTGCAGGTTTCAGGATCTGGAAGAGATGTGAGGAGTTACCACACCGGCTCCGCAAGGGAACCACCCCCACATCCTCCTACAGCATCTCAGCCCCCCACCTGCCACAACTGCAAGGCTTAGATGGTACCAAGTTGGAAGACTTCAAGGGGGATCACTCGGTCTGCACCTGCAAGGAGCAAAGTATCCTCTCCCAGAGGCTGCAATGACTTTGTGCCCCCCTTCCACAGCAGAGGAGCAGAGCCCGATGCCTCAGCCGCCTGGGGCTGCATCTGGGGCCCGGTGCTGTCCCATGAAGGCAAAGCCCCATCTACATTGCCCCCAGTAACCAGCTCGTCTCCCTCTGACCCTCCCACCCCACCCACAGGCACAGAGTGCTTTCACTGGTCAAGAATTTCCTCTCCAGGTCCCTCACAGTGAAGAGGAAAAGTCTCCAGGAACTAAACAGAACCAAGCCTGAGGTCAGCAAAATCACTTTCCCTGGTGGTCCTCAGGGTACACACAGGTTTTCTCTCAGTGACTCCACAAGGCCTAGAGGGACGAGGACAAGCAGCCATCACATCACCATGGCAGTGACATGATAGAAGGAAGAAGGGCTTATGAGTACAGTTTATATGAAGCCAGCACAGTGAATGCTTCTTTGTTATTGTGACACCAGGTCAGAATTTCATGCCAAAATGCATTGCAATTCAGAGATATACGGTGACTCAGCGTAAGATTAGAAAGCAGGGTGACCCGCTCCCCCTCATGTACCCAGGGCCTTCCTGGTTTTAAGTGCCAAAAATTGCATGGCCTAGGAAACCCCCCAGATTCAGGCAAACTGGGAGGACTGGTCACCCTATTATAAACACTAAAACAAAACAAGACTAGAGCCTTAATCTAACATTTTAGATTTGATTTCATAGGAGGAAATAGAGGCCATGACATTGCTTTAACGATAACATCTAAATTGACTTTAGTTCCAGTTTTTGAAGCAGTACATACAATGAGAAGCTTTAATTGTCCATGTCAAATAGCAGATGATTTACATTTTTTTGTTTTAATAGGGTGGCTACGAAGCAAGATGACCTCAAGAGGCTTTTTTGACCATCCCAGAAACATGGGGCATGAGGCAAGAGGGAGACAGACAGAGGATGGGAATGGAACACTCTTGCGTCGCTCATTCGCCCTCCTAGCACCTACCTTCATTCTCATGTCCCTGGCATATTTCTCCAGCTCCTTCCTTATGTCGGCCCTCAACATCTTTGAGACATTGAGGACTAGCTGCTTCCACTCTATGGGCTGGAAGCTATGAGGCTCGTGGGGGACGTACAGCCCAATCTTGACCTTCTTGACTGTGTGCAGGTACTTCTTGTAGGAGTCTTCAAAGTCAAAGATGAGGTCACTGAGAGTCCGAAAGGTCAACGGCTTGTCCATCAGCTCAGCCCTTCGGCTCATGCCCAGTGAGCCATAGCGGCCATTGCAATAAATCCCCAGCACAACATGGTGAAAGTAGTTTCCTGAGAAGTAGGTTTTAAAGCTGATGGGGAATCGCTCGATGGAAGGCTGTCCATTGGTTAGGTATCTTAGACCATCTGAGTCAAGGAAGAGAAAGGAGGCCTTGAAAATTCAGAGCTTGGACCCCTCCCAGGAAGGGAAGTGGCCCATATGGGCAAAGTAAGTGTCCGTCGCTCTATCTCTGAGCAGGCCCACATCTTACCTTTCCAGACTAATCCTTTTAAAAATGATTCACTCCGGGGCAGCCCAGGTGGCTTAATGGTTTAGCGCTGCCTTCAGCCCGGGGCCTGATTCTGGAGACCGGGATCGAGTCCCATGTCAGGCTCCCTGCATGGAGCCTGCTTCTCCCTCTGCCTGTGTCTCTGCCTCTCTATGTGTGTCTCTCATGAATAAATAAATAAAAATCTTTTTTAAATAAATAGATAGATAGATAGATAAATAAATAAAAATTATTCACTCAGTATCTTTGAGTACCTTATTATACGGTGCATGCTGAAGCCAAATTAAAACAGGGCAATGAGAAAAACTTGCCTTCCACTTTAGTAATTAGATAAATGCAAAACAAAATAATGACCTTTACCCCTCCCTTGGTTTTCTACAGGGCATGTGAGTATTAAAGGCTTTTTTTCTGTAATCAGAATGATTTTCTCAGACATTTAATTCTGGCGGGCGTGTGTGGGACAGAGCAGAAATTGAAGACCTCTGCAATGTTCCAGGAGAGAAATGAAAACCAGAATCAAGGCAAGGTAATGAGCCATAAAAGAAATAGACTGGCTGATTATCTGGATGGGAAGGCATCAGAACAAGTCACGTCTGTCCCTCATCGGCTCCTCTCATGGGTCCAACAGCCATGGGTACCACACAGAAAGCTGCCTCCAACACCCAAACCTCATTCCCCAATGCACCTGGTATTAAGATTGGCTTTCTCTACCAGTCAGCCCATTTGGATTGGGCAACCTCGTCTCTCACCGTCATATTGGTTAGGGACCAGCAATCCCACAGAGGGCAGCATCAAGTAACTACCCCACTGACTCCACACGCTGGAGGGATGGACAAGAAGTACCACAAGCTCAAGCCCATCTCAAAATCCCAGGATACTCCAGCAAGGAGCCAGCATTTCTGGAGAGAGATGCTGAAAACTCATGGTGTCACTTTTCTGCTACAAACCATTGGTGACTCCAGGGTGTTTCTAAGGTAAATCATAATCCAGGCGCTCCACGAGGTGGTTTGTGCATGGTAAGTGCTTGGTCAGTAGGTACGGTTCTCCACTCTCTGAGAGTGTCTTCGCTATTTCTTGCCCCACTCCAATGTACTTTCCACACAAAGCCCTGAATGTTCTATTCAAGCCCGAATTTGGCATGTGTCAACTCTACTGCTTCAGTTTTCGTTGTCTCTCATCTTCTCCAGACTTGGTCCAAATCCCTTACCAAAGTCCTGCCACCATTCAGCCCCTGCTCATTATTCCTTTGTCCAGTTTCATTAAACCCATACCCGGGACTAGCCCATGGACCTACAGTCAACCCAAGACATTTTTGAAGGCTATTCCAAGACCATAAAGAATCCACACCTGTACCCTTGGCACATATATTCCCTCATAGTGTGAAGTCACATATAAGTGAAAGTCTCAAATGACTTTTAAGTAACCTTTACATTACAAAACTGAGAGACCAAGTGACCTACGAAACTTTCAACAAAATGCCTCTAAATGCCCTCTGTGCACTACACGATGCCTCCTATTGTAGTATGACTTCTTTTATGGCTTCACTCACACAGAAGCCTTCTGATGCAGGGGAGTCAAACCTGGCAAAGATCTTTGGGGTCTTGTAAAAATCATCAGTGAGAAGGATGCTGTGGGCTTATCTTCTAATGGGCGGCACCCTGGCTGGAACATCCTCAGTGCCATCCCCTCCCCGCTCACCCCCTTCCCTGACCTTTCTCAGTATGAGTTAAGGACCTCCCTCTACCACCCAAGAACCCCTGTAGCACTTGGTGTTTAATCATCCAGTATTGTAAGTATTTGTTTGCATCTCGTAAGGGTGGGAGTTGCATCCTGCCAGCTGGCGTCCGTGGGCGTTGCACAGGCCTGGCACACAGAAGTGCTTTGCCAATGCTTGCTGCAGGGATGAACTCCAGGTGAACATACCTTCCTTACACTTAACAAGACTGCCTCGGTGGGGGCCAATCCAGTACCCTTAAAAAAACGCTAATAGAAGCCAGCCCACCGCCTCGAGGTCAGCCTTGTCCTCTGCCCTTAATTTAAGCACAGATAGCTCTTCTCTATAAAAAGTTACCTGTTTTCTCTTCACTTCTTCATGTGAGATTAACCAGCAGTAAGGGAATGAAATCACAACCTTCTGAGTCCTCTTACATCAATTCTTGCTTGTTTTGGGGGGCTGAGTTCTCTGGGGCTGGAACAATGGGAATCTTTAGTTATAACAAACACTTAAACAGGGTGCATATCTCCTGTGCCAGACCGCCTACCAGTAGGGCCGTGGAGCCAAAGATGAAGAACGCAACCCTTCTCTGGAAGCCTGTTGGGGAGACAGACCTCAACATGGACACAGTATGAACAGGATGGTAGTTCCTCAAAAAAAAAAAAAAAAAGGAAAAGAAAGAAAGAAAAGAAACAAATACAGAGTTGCCATATGATCCAGCAACTGCACTTCTAGGTATGTACCCCCAAAAATTAAAAGCAGGAACTCGAACAGATATTTCTTGTTCACAAGAGCCAAATGGGGAAAGCAACACACGTGCTGTGGATGGATGGATGGATGGATGGATGGATAAACAGAATGTGGTGTATACATACAATGGAATGTTATTAGCCTTAAAAAGTAAGGAAATTATGACATGTGCTACCACATGGATGAACCTTGAGGATATTAGGCTTAGCGGAATAGGCCAGTCACAAGAGGGCAAATACTATATGATTTCACTCTATATCTGGAGTACTCAAATTCATGGAGACCAAAGTAGAATGGTGGTTGCCAGGGGTGGAGGTGGGGGGAGTGGGGAAATAGTGCTCACTGGGCACGGCATTTCAGCTGGGGAAGACGAAGCATGGTGCCCGTGCTTACAGAACGTGAATGTTCTCACTCAACTGTACTCAACTGTACATTGAGAAATCATTAAAATGGTAAATTTATGGTATGACTACTTCACTGAAAAACACCACACTCACACACAATATGTGTAGGTCAAGCCATTATGCCGTCCACCTTCAACTTACACAGCATGTACATCAGTGGTGTTTGATGAAACTGAGAAGAACCACCTCAGTGTGGTGTGTGCTGTACAAGAGGCAAGCCAGCATCCTGAAGAAAGCAGAGAAGAGACCACGGGGTGCCCATACTGACATTTGTCTTGTGGGACAAGTAGTGTCAGCCACAGGGTGAAGATGGGTGGGGGGAGAGACCACCGGTCCATCCTGACACAAGTCACCATCACTAGGATTGGCTCCATCTTTATGGCTATCAGGAAAGCCTTGGGACCTGGAGCAAATGGGCACGGAGAGGGAAGGGACAAGGAAGTGCAGAGAAGGGTTGGGAAGTGGCCTGAACTTTTCTAGGGAGGAGGGGGTAGCTGCCCAAGCTCCTGGAAGATCTACCCAGCATCTACTTCTAACAACAAATCCATCACTTGAATGCGCCATGACACTTTAGTACCCTGATTAACTCCCTTCAGGGTCAGTGAGGCCCCCAAAATTGCGGCCAGGATTCTGAAGGTGACTTGGAACCAAAGGTCTCTATTGTCGGCAGCACATGAAAGTGTGCAAAGCAAGAGCAAAAGAAGGGGCTCTTCGTGAGCGAATCCTGAACCCTGGACTAGCATCAAACGGGAGGAAAAAAGGGAGGGGACAGGACAGGGGACATGGGCTTCCAAGCAGCAGCTGAGCTGACCTGCTTCAAAGTTGCTGAGGTGCCATTTGTTTCCCAGGACCTGCAGAGGGGCCTGTGGGAGACACGGACCGATGGGCCAAGTCATGCCCTTCACTGGGCTCGGGGGAAAAGCAGGCCACAGGGATGCTGACAAAGAGCAAAGAGAAAAGACAAAGATGCTGTAACTTTCAGAATCCGGGTCGGTGTTTCTGGTCTGTGCCCAAGCGTCAAATTTCCCTGCGTTCAGCAGCGTGAGCCACATTCCTCCACCCTTCCCCACCTCCCCTGCACTTCCCTAAAGGGTCATACGGCTAAGAACGTCCTCTGATTTGGACCAGGCCAGAGGCCAGTCACAGGTGTAGCCCTCAGAACCCACGTAAAGCAAGATGGCCCAGGTGCACCTAGACAGTCTGCAGGTCACTGGTCCACCCAGGGAAGGGCCTGTGCTGGGGTTCTCCCTCACTGACTGCCCCCCCCCAGCAACTGTTCACCCCCATTAACCTTGCAGGAGGCTCTGCCCAACAGCTGTGGCTGACTCCTGCCACAGAAGCCCCCGCTCCCCACAGCCACCTGCTGCCTTCACCCTCTGGCTGGGCTCCCCAGGCACACATCTCCTCTCCTTTGGGAGGAGCAAGGAAGAGGGGAGGAGGGAGGACAGAACTTTGGGGAAGGACCACGATAAGGCTCAAGTTCCCATCTCTCAAGTCTGGGCACCTGTGGACGATCTCATTTCAGAGGAGGCCCGCCAGCGCCCGCAGACGGCCAGAAACGCCTTCCCGTGAACGTGTGCAGGAGGCCAAGCCAACAGACGGCACCTGTCCCACTGTCCCCAGTCTGATTCTGAGCCCCTGGTCCTTCCACTGACCTCATGCTGCCCTCTTTCTCTGGGGTTTCCTTCCGCCTCTCTTGACTTTCCTTCTTCATCTCTGTCATGGGCTCACCGTGTCCAACGAAACCAAAAAAGGGTGATTTCATCCTTGATCTTTATCCCTTCTCGCTCCCTGAAGAGCAGCTTCTGCTCCCTGAACACTCGCAGCTCCCCAATTTCTATTTCCGGTGCGGAACCCCCTCCTGAGCATCATGCCCTGAATGCCCCACCCCGACCTCCTCCAGGCCTCTCAAATTGAACACACTAGAATCTGAACTCGGCTCCCCATAAATCTGACTCTCCCCGCTGAGTCCTTCAGCAGGCTGCAGCGCAGTTAGCCGACCAGCCAGTTTTCCAAGGCGGACACGTGGGCTCCTTGCCGGTCTCCTCTCTGACAGCTCACCAGCCCACAGCAGGCATCAATGACCACCCCCCCCCCAGCTCCTTCCTCCACCTTCACGGCTTTGAGGCCGAAATATGTCACCTCTCGGTCGCCCTCATCGCTCCAGCCTGTCCTCCACAGGCTGTCGCCCAATCCAGAAACCTGTCTTGGTTGACTCCTTCCTCATCAACTTGTCACTCAGCTGGCCTCCACGTCCTGGAGATTCTATGTCCTGGATGTCCCCTCACATCCACTCCTCTGGCAAGGACCATGGTTCGAGCATCACCATTCCCTAACGGAGCAGCTCCTAACCGGCTTTGCAGACCCGGCTCCTTCTCCAGCCTGCCCTTCAATCTGCCTGCAAAACCACCTCTCTAACATGCACACCTGATGGTGTCCTGCCTCTGCTCCGGAGAGCTCATGGGACTGCCCATTGCCTCCTGAAGGAAGGTCACACTTCTCAGCACACTTCTCAGCACAGCACTCAAGGACCCAACTGGTCTTTCCTGGGACCACCCACCAAGTTCATGTCTTGCTGTGTTGCCTTGGGCACTGCCCCTTCTGGCCATCCACCCCAGAGGACTGCAAGTTTCTTTGCTCTCCTAACACATCATATTCTATTGCCATCAGCACCAAGTCAGTGCCATCACAGCTTTTCTGGACCATATTCCCCTCAGGCTGAGGAGCCAGGAGTCAGGCAGAAAATGGAACAGAAAGTATGGGAGAGACCAGACCCTTGTTTCAGCTCTAGGTTCTGCAGAGTCAAGCCTCTACACCACTGCTTAGTCTCCTCCACCATCCACTCTTAGAATTTTCCCCAGAGGTGCGTGTGGCTAATGCCATTTCCTCTTGAGTGTCTATCCTGTTGCAATGCCAGACAAATGCACAAAATAGTGAATCACGCTCTCTCTGTAGGGTCTCTAAGTTGGAATTCTCCTTGTGACTAGTGGATCTGGCCTGAGAGCTGGCCCTAATGCAGGCCTCAGGTTACAATGACGATGATCTAAGGAGCCCAACTCTGATTTGGTTCAACTCCAAAAGATGAAAGTTAAAGAGAAGACACTCTCTCACAAGGAGACAACGGGCATCTTCTCTGTGAGTCTAGGACAAACGAAGGCATAGTCAACCCCAAAGTTGGAGGCCACCAACTATGGAGTGAACTAGAGCAAACATAACTTCAAGGATACATGCCCAGGATGACAGCTTCAAGGCATTTGATAGGCAAGGATTCCCGAGTCATTTCTTTCGCTGTTTCCATTAACCTGTGGGGTAGAGCACAGCAAAGTATCTCAGGAGTTTTTTAATTATGAAGTCTGTCCGTCAGTCCAACAGCGTGCCTGTCTCCACACTAGGTGCCATGCAGGATTATGGGGGGAAAGGGGAGAGCTTGCTGTGCAGGATGGAACCAAAGCACATCTAGACCCAGCAGAACTCAATTCTCCACTCCCCTCTCCAAGAGTTAGTTCCTGGAGGTTAGTGCCTATACTCCACAGCACCCTCCCATTGCCCGAGGACAAAGGGCATTATAAGGAGCAAGTAAAGGAGGCCACATAAAACAAACTTCAGGGGCGCCTGGGTGGCTCAATCATTTAAGCGTTCGACTCCTGATCTCAGCTCAGGTCTTGATCTCAGGGTCATGAGTTCAAGCCCTACACTGGGCTCTGCGCTGGGCATGGAAGCTATTTTTAAAAACCAACATACTCTGAGATTGCATTGCCAAAAAGAAGCCTGAAACTGTGTGATGCTGGGAGTGGAGCCTACTCAAAAAACAAAACAAAAAACAACTTCACAGGCTTCCTGCATTCCTGTTAAGAGCTAGTCTCCCCCACGGAGCTTAGCTGTCAGAGTGGCCCAGCCCCTAAGCCCAAGCCAACCTGGCTCTGGGGCACCCCTCACCCCCAACCCTTATAGACCAGGATGTTTGAGCAGGGGATACAGGGAGAAAGGGTGGGAGAGGGAGTTGGCAGCTTTCAAGTAGAAGAGACGACCCTTGGCCCACAGATCATGCACCACTTACCCACTCAGCGGTCTCATTTTCCTAATTTCAAAGAACTGGGTCCCTGTATGATTGTATCTGTGTGAAGTATGTAAAGGGAAAGTGATAGAAAATTCCAAAGGTCCCAGTGATTCAGCAGAGGAAGCTAGGCATTGATTTCTCAAAGGGATGAGGAGTGAGGAATGAGGGGCTTTCCAGAAAGTTCAGTGGCCAGAAGATAGCCAAGAGCCTCTTACTCCTCACTGACCTGCCTTGAAAATCTAATTTCTAACTTAAGCTCCCAAACGCCTTGGACCTTTATAATAGCTACTTTCAATCTGCTCTGTATTCTGTTTAGTTGAATACATGTCTTAATTCATTTTATTAGACTATAAGCTCTTTGGGAGTTAGGACCATTTATTTATTATCTTTCTATCACCCACAAGCCTGGCAAAAGTCCAACATATTCATTAGCAAATATTATTAAATGAATGAGAAATAAATGAATAGATGGGTGGGCAGATGAATGGATAAATGGGTGATTGGTGGAAGGGTGGATAGATGAATGGAAGGCAGGAAGGAAGAATGAATTGATGGATACATGGAATGGAAAGGTGGGTGGGTGGATGGATGGATAGATGGATGGCTGATGGATGGAAAGAATGAATAGAATGGAAGGGTGATGGATTGGAAGGGTGCATGGATGCATAGAAGAGGTGGATGAGTAGACGGAAGGAGTAGATGGAATGCAAGGGTGGATGGATACATGGCTAAGTAGGCAGGTGGGTGGCTGGTTGGACAGATGTATGGATAGATGGAATGGAAAGATGGAAGAATTGTGGGTAGAAGGGTAGGTGGATGGCAGTAGGGCTTCTCACTAGTGCACAGTCTCTGCAGCTAAGCTTACTGTGGAGACATCATCTTCATTTCACTGGACTGACGCTAGACAAGGATTACTAAGCCTGAGAAGACGACACTATTGCCCACAGCTTGGGATTTAGCTGGTTGCCCAGAAAGTGTCAGGGACTGGCAAGCCTGCACCAGGTCATGCTGAGAGAGAACAAAGATTCCCTGATGGCATGCTGAGACTAGAGCTTAATTTTTTCAGAGCCGAAAGAAAAGTTGCTTTACACGTTTCTCTTTCCTGCCTCAAACAAAATCCTATAGAAAAAAGTGCATGTTGGGAAGGTGCCAATGAATCAAGGACTTGTAACCCTGACAGGGTGTATGAGATTAGATGTGTGGCCCTACAGTGGTACAGGCAGTGGCAGAAGGTGGGGCTGAGCACCTAAAGGCACTGCACACCCTCCCGAGGAGGGTCAGGATTCCCGTCCTCCGACACAAGCACATATAACAACTAGTAGGGAGGGAAGGGCTCATTACAAGCAGATTCTGGGCTCCACCCCTGGAGATTCCGATCTCAGGTCATGGTCTCAACCCTAGATGTCATTCAGAGACACCCTGCCTTGGACTGTTGTGTTGAGATTCCAGGGTGAGAGCCAGATGATGATTTTAACAAGCTCACCAAGCTGGAAATTATCAGCACGAGCCATAAGAATAGCCCATAACAGTATATAGGCTTGCCCAGCCTTTGAAAAATGCAATAAAGAAAACCTTAGAGGGAAAAGAAAAAAAAATGAGGGGCTACATGACCTCATTATAAAGTGACTCTTTTACTTTACCAAAGATCTCATTCAAACAGTGAGATGCCGGTATATTTAAAGTAGAATTCAAAAGGCAAAAATTCTCTCTGTATGCCTAACTTTCTCCCTGTTCATTGATCTAGTCTATATACGTTGTGTGTAAAGTGAGACAAACCTATAATAAATAAAATATCAAAAAATTGCCTGCATTCCTTTCTCAGTTCCTTAAAGTTATGAGCCCCAGAAAGTGAGTTGGGGGCAGGGGGGAAGCCTCTTGTAAACATTGCCTTCAGAGTGAGACTGACTGAGCCCAAGCTGACCCTCAGAAGGCCTCTCCCCATGCGGCAGAGCTCAGGGCGCACCTATCTTTCCAGAAGCCCATGCACGATCAGCTGACACTGATGGCTGACACTCTGAAGCTGTCAGAAGGGAAGGAAGGATTCATTTTTCATATCCCCACATGAGCATGTCTGCAGTCAGGGCTGGCCTGGTAGGATGTGCTACTCTGTCCAGGACAAAGCAGGGGGGCGTCCCAACAACCTAAATACAGGCGTTACTCATTTCATTGCCCTTTGCTTTACTGCCCTTAGCAGGTACCATGCAGGTTTTAGTTTAGTTGTTTGTTTGTTTTTTAACAAACCAAAGGTTTGTGGCAACCCTGCATCAAGCAAGTCTGTTGGCACCATTTTTCCAATAGCATTTGCTCTCTCTGTGTCTCTGTGCCACATTTTGGTAATTCTCATATTTCAAACTGTTTCATTATTATAATTTCTTATCGTAACCTGTGATCAATGATTATGACTCACTGAGAGCTCAGATGATGGTCAGCATTACTTGACAATAAAACCTGTTAAGGTATGTAGGGGCGCCTGTAGTGGTTCAGCATCAGCCTTCAGCTCAGGGCATGATCCCGGGGTCCTGGGATCGAGTTCCACCTCAGGCTCCCTACAGGGAGCCTGCCTCTCCCTCTGTCTATGTCTCTGCCTCTCAACCTGTGTCTCTCATGAATAAATAAAATCTTTAAAGAATAATAAATAAAATTAAGATATGTAGCTTGTTATCTTTGATATGTTACTGCATGCTTCCGACACGTTATTTTAGATGTTCTAGGGTAGCGTAAACATAACTTTATATGCACTGGGAATACATTTGATCTGCTTTATTGCCATATTTGCTCTATTGCAGTGGCCTGGAACCAAACCTGCAATGTCTCTGAGGTGTGCCTGTAAAAGTCTGGTCAGAAGAGAAAACAAAGAGATCACACTCTGCCTTCTTTGTGTGGTGGCTCCAATGGTTAGGTGACCAGGAGCACGATCCCAGCAGCCTGCAGTGCTTTCCTCTTCGGCCTTCTCCGCAGTCGGTGATCTAGGTCAGTGACCATCATAATGGGTCAGAGAAGAGAATAAAAAAGCAGATCCTTCAGGCAAATTATGAAAACTTGGCTGAGAATGTGCTGCAAGGTTTATGGGAGAATGAGCAAATGAGATGTAAAGCACATGCAAATTCACCAGTCAGGGCATCCTGAGCCAGGCTTATTCTCTTTAATCTCCGGCTGCATGATCCTTGTGAAGATCATGTCCTACACAGAAGTGGGGAGCCAGGGATGCCTGGGTGGCTCAGTGGTTGAGCGTCTGCCTTTGGCTCAGGGCGTGGTCCTGGGGTCCTGGGATCGAGTTCCGCATCAGGCTCCCCACTGGAGCCTGCTTCTCCCTCTGCCTGTGTCTCTGCCTCTCTCTGTGTGCCTCTCATGAATAAATAAGTACAATCTTAAAAAAAAAAAAAAAAAGAAGAAGAAGTGGGGAGCCTTTCTAATTTCTGTCACCTTCTGGAATGTTCTACGAGAAGTCCGTCACACCCAGGAAGGCTTGGCTCTTGGGGTCCAAGGCTACCCTGGCAGAAACTGATGCTCTGGACCACACGAACTCCCTAGGGATCCCACTTTGGGGATTGGCACCAATAGCAGATAGTGTGCTCAGGGTTAGGGCTGTCCTGTCCGCCTCACCCCTGGAGGCTGGTGCCACTTGCCCCTCTACTATTGCTTCAGGATTCCACTGGGAAGATGCCATGCAGGGGAGTTCATCCTCTGTGAAGTGGGAACTGAGTGGCTAATGAAGTAGTCTCCCTGCCCAAATGAGCAGAAATTGGTGTTATTCCCCTCTGGTATGCCCTTCCCTTCAGAGAAGACACAAAAATCCACAGGAAAGATTCTTGCATATAGCACAGAGAGGAAGGGCCTCTTCTGGGGCACGTGGGACATGTGTGCAGTGCCCCATGAAATCCTTTCTGCTGAATTCTTCTTTCGGGACAAAGGACAGAGGTCAGCAGAGAACTGACCTCCTGGACAACGTGCTGGGGACGAGGGTGCTGACAGCTGCCTCGGGGAGTTGGGTGGGGTCTGATACTGGCTTAGCTCTGCGATGCTCGCTGTTGGCAGGCAAACGGTCTGTCCCTCTCACAGATGCCTCTGTCAGCCCAGCTCCCATCTGATTCCCATCCCTGAAAAAAATACCAGCAGCAGCCAGTGAACCACCCGCCTCTGCCCCTTTGTTCTCCAGTGTTGCTGCTGCTGCTACGGCCCGCAGAACAGATCTAATCCTGGCTACAAACAACCCGAGGACATTGGCGGACAGAAAGACTGAAGTCTGGCTGGTCTGAATCCAGCCTGCACCCACAGGGCTCCTCCACGCTTCTCCAAACTCACATGAGGGGAGAGGACCATTTATTCTTGTGGAAGGGAGCAAGGCCGCCAGTCTGGGGCACCTGGGGAGCCAAAGGCAGCACGAGGTGGGCCTCTTACAGACTGTGAGTGGTCAGAATGAAGGCAGAAAGGTGAGAAAGGAGAGAAAAAGAGCAGAAAGAGGCCCAGGAGGGAAGGGGAGAAAGACAGTAGAGGAAGGGGGTGTGGAGACAAAGATGACCCAGAGGGGAGAGAGAGGAGGGAGGAAGGAAGAGGGCTCCAGGTGGCCACTGCTGCCTCACTGCACCCTGCTGTCCCGGCCCACACCTCCCTGAAGGGGGAAGGCTCTGATCACAGCAAGTACATCCTCTAGCATCGTGCCTTCTAGACTCACACTGGGGCATCCCTCTAGGCCCGGCCTCACCAACCTTAGAGAGCATTTGCGGAGCAGCCAGGGGCAGACCTGCCAGCAGGCTCAAGATCACCACGCCCGTCCCCTGGCTGAGTCTGCCCAGACCCTGGTTGGAAGGATACTGTAGTGTCTTCATGTAGTTCTGGATTGCCTGAAGCCAGTCTGGGATCGTCATCGACAGCCTGTAGTTTGGAACCTGGGGTACTGAAGGCTGCAAAGAAGTAGAGAGAGAGCTCATTATCAAGGAGGTGCCCCGGGGCCCAAGGCCTGAAGGCAGGCACTAGGCTAAGAGCACCAGAGAGCTGCTCCTGACAGCAGACGGCCACCTGCACAAGGTCTCCCCAGACCAGGTGGTCACCTTGTTGAAATTTTGCTTCTCTGTGTTCCCTCCATACACACTCTGCCCTGGGGCAGCACAGCTCTCTGTGGCCCTCTGTGTATTGTGAATGTGAACGCAGCCAGCTTCCTCCTGGGAGCCTCAGCGTCTCCCTGAAACCAAGGACCATGTCCCATAGCGTCCCCCACTGAGCCCGGCCCAGGATGTTCACAGAGGTGCCCCACTGACCCTCACATTTTTTCTGCATGACTAACCTCTCATTGCATGGCTGGTGTGACCCATTATACTCCAAGGCACCGATGAACACAAGATGAATGGTGCCCTGAAGAAATGCAACGTGGCGCCACATGTGCCATCTCTCCTCAACACCACACCCATGGCACTCATGAGCCACCTCCCTGAGTTTGGCCCCAGTGGATTAGGAAAGATTCCCCCCTTGGCATGACTCCAGGTAAGTGCAGCCCCTCTGACTCATGAGCCATCTTAACCTTTCACCCCTCCCAGCTGCCCAGGAGCCCCTTCCTTTCCTCTCCTGCCCCTGAGTCAACACTCACCAAGTGTCTACAACTGAGGGCACGAAGTTCTAAGCACAGCTGGGAAGAGAAAGGAGCAACAGCAGGTGAGGACTGGAAATAGGGAGGTAAGGGGCGCCTGGGTGGCTCAGTCGGTGAAGCGTCATGATCTCAGGGTCCTGGGATCGAGCCCCACGTCAGGCCCCCTGCTCAGCAGGGAGTCTGCTTTTCCCTCTGCCTCTGCACTTGCCATAGTTCTATCTCTCACTGTCTCTCTAATAAATAAAGTCTTAACAAGAGAAAGGAAAGGGGGAGATAAGTGCCTCTTCTCAGGAATTTAGAGCTAAGATACCAGCTCTGAGACGCCGGGCAGCTCTGAGCGGCCCTGCCAACGAGGCCAAGAATAAAAACAAGCAGGGGCGGCCAATCCAGCCACTCCTGGGAGGCAAGGGACGGTGAGCACCTTCTTTCCCCATTCGCTTCTCACTCTGTTCAGCTTGGCCTCTGGTGAGGCAGGGCTGTTGGTGACAGAGACTGGTGGCCCACGTGAGCCTGTGGCTCCAGCAGGGCTGCCGCCAGGAAGGAAAGAAAAGGCTCCTCCCGGCTTAAGCCACTTAGGGAGGAGCAGAAGGGGCCGCAGGACGGATTAGTTTATCCTGGAGAAAAGAGGGAAGGGAGGCCCTGGGGATTTAGCGCTCAGCTGCTGGAAGGTGAAGCGGCTGGTGGAGAGATCCAGGCACCCGCGGGGGAGGCTGGCTGGGCCCCAAGGGACGGACACCGTCGAAGGACCCAGCTCTCTCCCTGCTGTGCATGCTCAGGCGCGGCAGGGACACTGGAGGGGTGCGCTGCCCGGGGCCTGCGGCAGGGCCTGTTCCAGACTCCCGCACCTTCCACACCTTCTACACCTTTAGTGGCAATTTGCGGCAAGAACGCCACCTGACATTCTTTTCCTCTCGGAGCTTCTCTTTCCTCTTGGCTTTGCAACTTTTGTACTTCGCAGCAATTGCCCCTTCAGCAGAAAGGAAACTTGTCACGCGTCCTATTTCACAGCCAAGGTGCTGAGTGTGTGTGAATGTGAGGGGGTGTGTGTGTACACGCACGCACAGCGGTTCTGCAAACTACATCTTGTTTACAACACATCAAAAATCTTGTTTCTGTCTTGGAGAATAATTTTAGGGAGCAAAATCTGCCCACTTGCCACTGGCTTCCATGACCCTCCCATGTGGGCAGCTGTGCGCACACCACACACACACACACACACACACACACAGGCACACAGAGATTACATGTATATATTATGTATTATGTAAATGTATATATTATGTATCCTTGTATTTCTGCCCTTACAAAGGCTAGAAGCCTCAATCTTGTTTTTTCGCAGTAACATCCACTGATCTACCCGTACCTGGAAGTCTGTGTACGAACGTGCCAGAGATTTCACAGAGAAGTGAGGAGAGAAGGGGAGATGTGAACAGACATTTCTTTAGCACCTGCCACGTTCCAAGCTCAAGGGGGAGGGAATGCAGAAACGGAGGAAGGATGGAGGGAAATTATACAGCATTAAGGCATGAGTGTATTTCTACTCAGAAAAGTGTTGTTTAACACAAAAGATGGTAGGCATGGAGAAACGTCCCCAAAGAATCACTGGCCACCTAAGGGATACTTAGATGGGTGTCCCTTGCCCAGAGCCCTGCCATAGCCAGAGAGACTTGTTTCAGGGGTGTCTCTAGAGGCCAACCACCAAATCATTTCAACTTCCCCAAGCCCAACAGAGCCCACAAGAGCCAGATGATGGTAGGGGGGGCGGGGGGGAGCCAGGCAGCAGCTGGTCCTCAGAATAGCAGCCCCCTGGCGCCCAAGGGCTTTTGAAAACAGCTGCCTGGTTACCTCAGTCCAGGCTGAGAGAATGCAGGAGCTGTGGCCACATTCCACAAGCCCCAGCTGGGGATCAGGGCTGCAGTGGGGAGACGAACTGAGACAGCTGAGGGGCTGATGTCATCAGGCTACAACTCACCCCGCTGTCTGGGAGAGCTGGCTGGGGCTCAGGCTGGGGGCAGGCTCCCAACCAGCTCCACAGGCCAGCATTGCCCCCACCGGAGGATGGACTATATAATAAACCAGACGGGCTCCTTGGCCGGTAATTATGAGACAAAGATCTGAGTTCCTGCTCCGTCACCTACTCGCAGGGGACCCTGGTCAAGCTCCATGACCTCTCTAAGCTTCTGTTTCTCTCCTGATAAAATAGGAGACTATCACCTACTTCAAACCTCCTGGGCCAATTGTAAGGGTTGGAGGACCTAATGTATAAAGCAGGCAACTTGGGATCAGCCCTCGAAAGTCTGGAAGGGTTGGCTATGTTATTATTCATCAACGACGTGTTTTTAGGATCTAGACTGGGGAAGCATGAATAGTCTTCACTTTTCTGCAACTAGAAGACAGATTCTGCGTAGAACATCACAAGGATGCCTTCTCAGCCTAATGGAAGAGAACACATCCACTTCCCCATGGGGACACGTCTTGACCATGAGCTAATAACCTTTATTCATGAAGACCTCCAACAAAATTATAAGAAAACTCTTCAGGGGCGCCTGGCTGGCTCAGAGGGCACAGCATGCGACTCTTGATCTAGGGATCATGAGTTCCAGCCTCACACGGGGTGTAGAGATTACTTAAAATAATATAAAATACAAGAAAACTCTTCAGGCCTTAATGGAAAAAAAAAAAAAAGGCCTAAAAGGTCGAAGCAACCCAAATGTCCACTGACAGGTGAATGGACAAACAGACAAACAGAATGTGGTATCAGAGCCCCTGGCTGGCCCAGTCAGTAAAGCATGCGACTACTGATCTCAGGGATGGTGAGTTTGAGCCCCACGCTGGGTGTGCCTTATTCTTTAAAATGTACTATATACATACAGTGGCCTTAGAAAAGGACATTTTGACACAAGCTGCGACATGGATGAACCTTGAGAACATTATGATAAGTGAAAATAAGCCACACACAAAAAGACAAATATTATATGACACCTCTCATCAGCAGTCGCCCTTTATCCACAGGGCATCCATTCTGAGATTCCGCCCCCCCCCCCAACAGATGCCTAAAACTGCAGATAGTACCAAACCCTATATATACCATGTTTTTTTCCCCCATGCATACATACCTATGATAAGGTTTAATTTATAAATTAGGCACGTTAAGGAGATTAAAATGATAATCAACAATAAAAAAGAACAAGGATAACAATATACTCTAGTGAAAATTATAGGAGTATGATCTTTCTCAAAATCTCTTTATTGTACTCACCCTTCTTGAGATATGAGGTGATAAAATGCCTACATAATGAAATGAAATGAGGAGAATGAGGTACATTGTGACGTAGCATTAGGCTACTCTTAGCCTTTTGATCACAGATTCAGAAAGAGGATCATCTGCTTCCAGATGGCAGGGGACACTGGGTGACAGAACCCATGGAAAGCGAAGCAGTGGACAAGGGGGGACAATTGTTATGAGGCTCCTACAGTCATCAAGTTCACATCGACAGCAGAAAGGTGGTTGCCAGGGACCGATGGGAGGGAGGGAAGTTTCAGCGAGGGAAGAAGGAAAAGTTCTGGAGATGGAACAGTGTTGGTGCACAACCGTGTGATTATTTCATGCACGGAACCGTACACTTAGAGGTGGTTAAGATGGCAAACTATATGTTATGTACATTTTACCACAATTTTTTAACCAGTCATGAAAAGACAATTCCCAAAGGAAATGAATAAAGATTTGAAAAAAAATATTCAAGCTCACTGATCATTTAAGAAATATCAAATGCCACTTTCACCTCCAATTAGCAGAAATATTCTGAAATGTGGACGCCTAATGCTGTCAGGGATGCTCTTTATAAGCATGACGAAACATAAATTAGTAACAACCTTTTTATGCCCATAGCACACTCCTTTTTTTTTTTTTTTTTCTCCCTGACAGGTCCTAAGAGTCCCTCCTGGTGTTATTTCCCTGCCCTGTTTCACCCGAAACCCCAGCCTAGACCTTCCATGGTCCTTCCTCTCAAGGTTCCTGCTGCCTGCCCCCAGCCCCTCACGTCACAGTCCAGGTGATGAAGGTGGAATCCAGAGGGAAGATCTACACAGGCACCGTGCTTATGGTCTGGAGTTGGGGGACCCCGGGAGGTGGGGGGCAGGAGGTTAGGAGCGAGCAGGGTAGACAGAAAGACAGTTGTTCAAGAAACACGAAACAAACTACAGGCAAGGCTTTTGCGGCCAGGCTCTCTCTCATCCCATTCGTGGCAAACGTAATTACCTGTCCAAAGAATGCAGAGAGAGATGTGAACGGACACAGGTGTGGAACTGGCATCCCCACAAGCAAGAGAAGGGGGAAGCCAGAAAAGGAACCGGCAAGGCAAGCCAGAACTGGCATCAGGAATCTTCAACATGAAAGAACACGGAGAAAGCAAAGCCTTTTGCTGTCCCTGTTCTGGAAAATACAGGTACCTGTGCAGACACCAGGCTGAAGAGTCTTCTCTGGCAACTTGGAGAAGCAGCATGGAACATCCACTCATGAGCCCAGGATGGACGCCCCAGGCCTCCGCATCGGGGGCAGCCAGGAACCTGCCGGTGGTGGCCTGGTACAGAGCTCTGGGGGAGGGGGGGCTCAACCTTGGGCCAAGCAGGAAGGACAGACCATGGTTCTGAATCCAGGACAGAGGCCGGAGTGGGCTCAACCTGTGTGAGCTTGTGGGGAGTGGGGGGCAGCAGCAGGGTCCTGACTTACACATCTCCACTCAGGCTCACACTTCTCTACTCGGGCGAAGCTGAGCCCTCTAAAAGTGAATTATTTCCCTATTTCCCTATTTATTTGTTTGTTTGTATTTATTTTTAATTTCCCAATTTAGAATCAACATGAGGATTAGGCACAACAACATGGGATCTCTAAGAAACCACTGCTGTTTCCTGCTGAGTCCATTCTGGTCACCCCTTGGAGAGTCCAGCTCAGCCAGTACAGGAGCAAGAGGAGCTATTTCCTAGCACACCTCGCTGTTTTTTCTGGGCCATCCACTGTCTCTGCCTCTCCCCTCTCTTCCTCTATCATCTTCCAACTGACTCTGCTGCTTTTTCATACTTTCCCTGAAAAGCCCTGGCCTCCACCTAGTCAGCTGCTACCTTGGACCCAGTAACCACCTGGGGACAGGCCTGAAGCCACACATTTAAAAGGAGGTTTGCAGAAGCAGTAGCTGCCTCCCCTTCCCCAGCCCAGGTAGGGGTACCTGGACCCCAGGCAGAGGTACCTGGACCTGTGGGCAGAACTTCCCACGCTGCTAACAAAATGTCCTGCAAAGAAGTGTCATTCAGTTCTCCTCTTAAACTCTGGTATCTTCCCTAGTCACCTTTTGCTTCTTAGTCTATATTTAATTGCCAAAAAATGTTAGTCTCCCTGAAACTCTCCAATCCTTTACTACCTCTGCCCCAACCCGCTTCTACACAAAGTCCTCAGCAAGACACTGGTTAAAGGAGAAAAGAACATGGGCCCAAAGGGAGAAGTGTGCCAAGCTGAGTGCATGAACAGCCCTTGGACCAGAGAGGAGTGACCCCCTGGAACCAGGAGCTGTTTTGAAGCTGTTCCCATCTCAGGACCTAGGTAGGGGTCAGGGAATGTCAGGACCTGGGGGAGGGGGACACCTAGGGAAGAGCTGGAAGTGCAGGACCAGCTATTATGATGCAATGTAAAAGAAATGTTAAAGGTCTTTTCTTTATTTAGGGTCAAAGTGCCAAGGCCTATGCTTGGCCAGGGTTTTTCCTGGCTTGGCAGGAATTCTCATGTGACTTCAGGTCACTGTGAAAATATAATATGGTGTGACTGCTATACAGAAAAGGGATCTGGTTTGTTTTGTTTTTTTTCTTTAAGAACACAGTATTCAGCCACAATAATGGAAGCATCAGGTACAGGCCTCAGGGAGTAGTAATCTGTGTTCGAAACTGCTCAGGCAACATTTCGAATATTGTGTTTCACATGTGCTTGTTTTGGAGGTGACAAACTAGCCAGGGTCCTAGAAAGAGGATGAGGAGGGGTGCCTGGGTGGCTCAGTTGGCTAAGCATCTGCCTTCGGCTCAGGTCATGATTCCAGGGTCCTGGGATCAAACCCCACATGAGGCTCCCTGCTCAGTGGGGATGCTGCTTCTCCCTCTCCCTCTCCCTCTGTTCACTCATGCTCAGTCATGTTCCCTTTCACTCTCTCGCTCTCTATCTCAAATAAAGAAATAAAATCTTAAAAAATAAAAATAAAGAGGATGAGGAGAGTGCTTTGATCTGGGGACTGTGACACTACGACACAGTGAAAGGAGCTAAAGGAGTGTGAACAAAGAACTAAAGGAATATTCAGAATGAGGGAAGGTGACAGTTCTGAGGACTTGTTCCAAGTCAACTCTGTTGTCACACAGATCAGCACGGGAAACCTGGAGACACATGGGTCATATCTCCCCAAGGGACTGGAGAGCTGGAAAGAACTTGGCATGAAATCTGGTCTACTCCCATTGTATGGATGAGAAAACTTAAGGCCAGAGATTTTAAATGAGTGGCTGAGGCCACAAAGCTAGAGGGAGCACAACCAGGGCTAGAATTCAGGCCCTTGATTTTTACTCCACAACCTTCCTTACTCCCAGGGCGCCGAGTCCTAACATTCTAGGGAGCTGAGAGCTGTGTGCTCAGAGGTCGACGACATGTGCTGCCCCGATTCAAAGGGCAGCATGAGAATCAGTGGGGACATGGGGCTAAAGGTGAAGAAGGGGAGTTTCTGTTCCAACCAAGAGTTTCCCAACCACCAAGACCCAAATCTGGCAGGGCCCCAGGGCCAGCTGCCTGGGAGGTGGCAAGCCCTCTAGCCCTAACAAGGTTTTAGGAAAGAAGGGATTGTGCTGAGAGGTGGGAGACGGGTCTCCACCAAAACAAACATCCCCTGATTCCTACGGGGAAAAGGGGTCCCCCCCACACACACACACACACAAGGCCAGGAGGAAGATGACATCACAGTTAGAAGCAGGGTCAAGTGCTCAGGAGGCTGAATGAGAATGGCAGCATGGGACAGCAGGAACAGGCCTGTGGCCACCTCTCTTCCAGGTTTAAAGGGTCCCCGGGTCCTCCCTAAGCAAAGCAAGGCTCACTCACGTTAGCATGAGATCTGAAGTCAGAACAACCAGCCAGGACCAGTGTCATTCTCATGCTCAAGGAAAACCCAGTAAGAGTGATCGCAGCTTGACACTGAGCAGGACAGAGCCTCATGGGGCATAACGGAGATCTCCTCGACCTGCTGGTAATAAAACACTAACGGGCTGCAGCAGGAAGCTCACCGGGCTCTGTCACTTCCCCAAGGGCACACACCGCTTTCCAGCCTGCGGGGCTCAGATGCTCAGGTCACCAGATGCTCCAGGTTGGGCACTCAGCCAGATGGCCTTTCAGGTCTCAGGTCTGGAATTCCTAGACCAGCCCAGGAATCTTCTCAGCCACACCAGTGTTCCCGGGGGGGGGGGGGGGGGACGGAAACCATCTGCAGCATTTCTCCGCAGCCTGCATTTTGATGTCTCATATAGTGACCACCGCACATCTTCCCTCCCTCCTTCTTACTAACTATATCCTTGGCCACCAAACTCAGTCGGCGCGCTGGCTTCTCTCCAAGGTAGAAAGAGTTTCACTCCTGAGCCTCTTTCTCTATCCAGTGAGACTAATGCACCATGTGTCCTGGAAAGTCCCTTTTAAGCCATAGCCAAAACTCTTCCTTTTTTTTTTTTTTTTTCCTTACGAGGAGCCCAGATAAGCTGGGAAAAGAGATCGTTCACTGCTTTGCAAGTTTCAGAGGTGAAAGTCACCCCCATGAAAAAAAAAATTGGCAAAAAGTCTAGAAATGATTCACGCTGAGAAGTCTGACTGGTTGATTGCAAAATTCATTCACAGCCTGATAAGTCATTTGCAAGGGAGAGACAGGGGGGACTTAGAGTCTCCAAAGAGGAAAAGCAGGGTGGGATCCTTGGTGGGGGGGGGTCGTTCTTAGCACCCCTGGTGTTACCTGGCGGCTACAGCGTTCGCTGGAGGAGGATATACACGGGGTGGTGAGTACACGGAGTTCGGCTGGAGATTCAAAGGGACCTTGGCACAACCAGACCACACAGTCCCAGGACAGCAAGCCCGCTACCTCTCCCTCCCGCATTTCTAAGGCTTCCAAGACAGACATCTCAATTAAGCGAGATGGGGTGGGGGCTGGTCGGAAGAATGGGGAGTATAAAGGAGTTCATGGCGGGACCAGGAAAATGGACATCACCTGGACCTGCCACGTACGTACGGTCTCAGGTGTTCCCATCACTGCCCGCCCCGCCCCGTCCATCGAAGCCTCTGACCTTTGCCAAGAAGGCGGCGTTGCGGATGGCGCCCACCATCTCTCCCCCCTTGGGGTGCACCTTGGCCACGTGCATCCACATGCGCTCCCAGGTGTGGCTGTCGATGGGGAAGCCGCTCTTGTTCACGTGAAACAGCACCCCGCCGTCTTTGTCCTCCTCCTCCGAGCCCCCGCTGGTGGCGAGGCTCACGGGCCGCGCGTGGCTGCTCCGCGACCGGGTGCCTTTGGCGCCTTTGGGGTGGGGGCAGCGGTGGGTGTCGGCCGCGGAGCCGGTCATGGTGGGGCCGGGGCGGGGCCGCGGGGCCGCGGGGGCGCGGGGGTCAGCGCCCCGCGGGGACGGCCTTCTCCATGCCTCAGGCTGCCGCAGGGCGCGCGAACGGGGAGCGCGGCTGGAGCTCCGCTCAGGGGCCGAGCCTGCGGAGGTGGAGACACAGCCCACGCCACCGTGAGTGGACCCCGGGGGGACCGGGGCGGGGGCGGGGGCGGGGGCGGGGGCGGGGGGGGCGCTGTGTCCAACGGGGGCGGGGCCCCGGGGTGGCCCGGGGCGCGTCACTCCCCGCTCCCCGCCCCCCGCCCCCCGCTCCCCGCGCGCGCCGGGACGCGCACCCGAGCTCGCAGCCCTGCAGTTCCGCGGAGGGCGGCCCGCACCTTGCCCCCGAGCTTCAGGCCCCGGGGACCCGAGGGGCGTGCGGGTGCGGAGCGCGCGGCGGGAAGGCGGCGGGGGCCCCGCGGGGCTCGGCGCGGTCCCGGGGCGGACGGGCGCAGCGCCGGCACGTGAGCGCAGCGGCGGCCCGGCTCGGGGGCGCCCCCCTCCGCCCGGAGGCCCTCCCGCCCCTCACCCGAGTCGCGGCGCCCCGGGGACCGGCTGCGGGCGGGGCGCGAGGCGGGCGGCCGCAGCCCCCGACCCTACCTGGGGCCGGCCGGGCTCATGGCCGCGGAGCCTCTGCGGGCGGCGGCGCGGGCTGCAGCGGCCGTCGCCTCACTCCAGGTCCCATTCTCGAGTGTTATCCTGTGACCTAGGCCGAGTCACCCGGGCGGCCGCCGACGTTCCGAACGCGTCCATTGGCCACCGCAACAAAGAGGGGCGGCCCGCGCTCGGACTCGCGCCGCGAGCTCCGCGCTCTGATTGGCTCCGCGGGTTCCCGGGCCGGGGGGGCGGGGCGCGGGGGGAGCCCGGCGGGCGCGCGGAGTCCCGGGGTGGAGGGTCCTGGCGGCCGCCGCGGGGCGGAGCGCTGGTCCCGGGGCCCTGAGGCCGGAGCGGGGCGCCGCGAAGGTCTGCAGGTGTGCAGCGCAGGGCGGGAACAAAGCCGCCCGAGAAACGCACCCCGCCGCCCCCAGGTACTGGAGGGCCTGTCCTTAGAGCTTCGTTCCCTCGGGAGGGCTGGACACTGTCACCTGCCCCCAGCAGGGAGTGAGGGGCGGTTTAGGCAGGGGCTGTCACACGAAGGCACCCAATTCACAGACTTTCCAAAACCAACAAAGGGGGCACAGCGTGTACCCTCTGACATTAGTCGTGATTAATAAATTCCTTTTAAGCCCAAGCTGATATGCGACACTAAAATCCAGGAGGTCAGCCAGGCCCCAAGTATTCTATCACAGCTAGAGTTAGAGAAGGGGCTGGAGAGATGCTTGAAAGCCGTGGGGAAGTGGGAGCCTTTCCGCACTGTCCACGACACACTTTGGCCTTAAAGAAGGCACCTCCTCTCTCTCTCTCTCTCTCTCTCTCTCTCTCTCTCTCTCTCTCTCTCTCTTTAAGGATTTTATTTCTGAGGGGAGAAGGAGCAGAGGGAGAGGGACAAGCAGACTCCACGCTGAGCACAGAGCCAGATGTGGAGCTTGATCCCACAACGCTGAGATCATGACCTGGGCGGAAATCAAGAGTCCATCACTCAACTGACAGAGCCACCCAGGCATCCCCTTCCCCTTTTTTCCCTTAAGAAAAAGAAAACCGAGATGGGAAGAGCACCCGATTACTGACCTAGGGGCTGGCTTTAAGTCCAGGGTTATCACTTGGCTAAGCTGTGTGACCCAGGACAAGCCACTTGCCCGTTCTAGGCTTTAATTTCTCGGTCTGAAAAGAACAGATCCCACCCACCGCCCCACCCCCACCCAGTTCTGTTCTGGCTCTAAGGTTCTGTGATTCTCTGACTTCCTCTCTCAGGGACACTTAGGAGCCTGGCCATAATGTCCTTTCTCTTTAAACTCCATGCCAGCTTTGAGAGGGTAAGCAGTTGTGAGAGCAATGCCAAGTTAACCTGGAGTTTAGAACATGATCATCAAACAGCCGCTGATGATGGAGGGCATGGTAAGCAGCCAGGGCCAGCAGAGGCCCTGGAGCACAGCGGAGAGCCCGGGCCTGGGCAGGGAGACCTGCGTTCTGGACAATGAGAACAATAACTTAAGTCCATTCAGACAACAAAAAATGGGCTGACTCAGGAAATTCTGTGAATGATGCAAATGAAACAGCACCCCTGAAAAAAATCAAGAAACTGAAAGAAAATTATCCTCTCACCATATAATTGTCTCAGGTTTTATTTCTCAGTTGAAAGAAAACATGCCTCAGTGAGTGATCTGTTTTCTCACCGTGAACATCCTTCCTCTCTGCTCATTCGTCTCTCCAATCTGCCCCCTCTCTCCTTAGTTTCAAGGAGAAACTTCCTCCCAGTTTCAAGCCCAAGAGGCGAGGATACCAGGATGAAGCCCTGTAGGCATGGGATGAGAATTTGGCTTCACAATCCCACAGGAGAAAATTGAGCTCTCAAAGCTCAAGTGATCAGTTGGCGAACGTCAAAGAATGTCTGGCAAGTTTCACCTTCCTTGGCATCAATTCCCAGTGTCCCACTCAGGCCAAGTCCAAACAAGTATAATTACCCTGTTATACCAGGGCCTGGATCCTGCTACCTGAATCAAATCCTATGGTCCAGAGAAGGTTATCAGCTCACGTTCCTGCTCTAGGCCCCCCCCCCCAGAACTCCCTGAAAAGATTTTGTTGTTCATCTCCAAAATTCCAACTGTCTGTTCTCTTCTCTGGGGGCGGGGTACGGTAGGGACCCAGGTGACATAGCATAGGAAGAGAGCTAGGAGATTTGCCTACTTTTCCTGAAAGGTGGTAAGAAGGCTTCTGAAGTGAACTGTGCTGTCCCAATGAAGGGCGGAGAGACAAGGGGCCCTTTTGTTGAGAATTCTTTTGCATTAGAGAACTGTGCTCATTGCATAGACCAGCCAACTCTATTCTTCATTTTCTTGTGTATTTAGTGTTATATAACACTGAACCCAGGCCAGACAGATTATGGGTTTTGAAAGTTCAAATAGTAAGAGTGATGTAGCCACATATATATCCACACAGTGGGACAGAGCCAACTTTTGATTTGAACAGGGACACGTGGTGACTAGATGCTGAGAGCACGGTCAATTTCATTTGTTGACATAATGACTAGAGTAGCAGAGATGTGTAGTGGAAGGTGTGGAACAAGAAAAATGGGTCGAAATAGTGTCTTATTTTTCAAGTGTCAGCTGCTGGGTCTCAAAGAGACTTCAGACAAAATCTGACCTGGATGGATTTCTAGCTCCACCACTTGTTGATGTTAATAGCCTACCAAAGTGTGTATCAAACAAGCTTGGCTAAACCTCACCCTTCTCCTGGCTCTACAGCTACCTCCACAGCCAACTAGATCTGTGCAGATCAGCCGCCTGGAGCTGACTAAGCACTTGCCCCAGGCAAGTCCCTCTTGGCCACTGCTCCACAGCCAGGCTGGCCAACCACATGTGCGGAGTCTCTGACTCCCCCACTACTTCTAGACTCAGAGGAAATGCCACACTGCAGGATGTGGCTTCTGAGCAGCCATCGGAGGGGCTGGATGATGCATCTTAAGGAATCAATTCCCTGTGGGGAGCCTCTTGATCAATGAGAAACAGGAGGTGGGAGGGAGCTGGGCAGATAAGGTCACTTTCCTTCCTTCCTTCTGTGGACAATTTGGAGTCATGATTTTTCAACATAGCCTGTCTGGAGACGTCCTGTGTGGCTGAGCAGACATGCCTGTTGACTGGCCATGGCTCTCTGCAGTTGGTCAGGAAGCAGTTACTGGCATGATAACATACCACCTTGCGTTGCTTCTCATCCTATCCTATCCCCTTTCCCTTTTTTCTCACCCTTGCTGCCTTCTTGGTCAGATTTCATCTTTGCTTCAGATTCTGCTTTCTAGAGAAACAGCTAAAACAATTGGTTCCACAAATGGTATCTATAGAGCTCAGGATGGACTTCCAGTTGCCTACCTGTCTGAAGTCAGTGGAACCCTTTGCTGGTGATAAGAGGAAAGGTAGTAACTCTGATACTCAAGAGCACCACAGCTTTCACTTGTGTTTAATTGGGGTGAATTGGGTGGAGAGCAAGACATTAGGAGATCAAGTGGCTGTGGCACTCAATCAGTTTGGAAACAATGATAATTATAAGGTATGAGAGACCTTGGAAACAGAAAATGACAGGCTCAGAGCAGTTAATTACCAGCTCGTGGAATGCTCTGAAAGCCAGAGAGCCTCCACGGCAAGTTTAAGAGTCTTACTTCCTATAACCATAGGATAGACTCTTAAAATCAAGCCCAGGACCTGATCACACAGTAGCAGAACTGCAAAGGATACTAAATACAGGGACTTCGCTGGCTTCCGTGTCATAGTCAGAGCCCTGATAGGGGAAGAGTGGGACCCGGGGTCCTGGTATAGGGCTGTCTCAGTGGATGAGGGTTCTTGACTCTTCAAATCCCTTGTGAATGCTCCTGCCCAGAGAAACCACCTTCTCCATGATTTGTTCTCCTCGAGACCACTTCTTGCCTCCACCAATACCCAGAGTCAAGTGCTAGCATGGCCCACACTGGAAAGAAGAAGCCCCACTCGGGCAGCCCGGGTGGCTCTGCGGTTTAGCGCCACGTTCGGCCCAGGGTGTGACCCTGGAGACCCGGGATCGAGTCCCACATTGGGCTCCTCGCATGGAGCTTGCTTCTCCCTCTGCCTGTGTCTCTGCCTCTCTGTGTGTGTCTCTCATGAATAAAATAAAACCTTAAAAAAAAAAAAGAAGAAGAAGCCCCACTCCAGGGAGAAAAAGCTACCAGCCAAAGATATTGTAGGGCTTGGCTAATGTGTCCTGGCAGGAACTGTGGAAAAGTGTGTGGATCCTGAAGATGTTCTATTTGGGGGTAGTGTGTGGGGGCGGGAAGCAGAGCTCAATGGAAACAATTCACTGCTTTGGGGTTACTCATACAGAACTCAGCATTCAATGTTTTAGCAAGGATGCCTGGAGCTTGTTCTCATCCCCTTGTTGGCTTGGATGGGTCTTTGAAGCCTGGTCTCCATAATAGCAAAGTGGGAAAAGCAGACTTCCTTGTGTAATATAGAGGAAGCTATCAGAAGAGTCAGGAAGGAGGGAATATTAGAAGGTCTTATTAAGCAAGGCTCAAGAACCGGTCACAGGACTAGTTCCCTGGGCTAGCCCCTAGGACGCTCACTTCACTAAAGGCAATAAAGGATGCACTGCTAAGGAGGCACTTGGGAGCGGCTGTCCTTGTAGTCCAGGGATGATGGTAGGGGGAAGGGTGCTGTGTAAGTGGGTGGTCTACTATTAGCAAAGATGACAAAAATCCCCAAATTGCAGAGGTGAGCGGAGAGCACTTAATCATAAAAGACAAGGTGAACATATCACAACAGACAACAGAGGAGAAGAGTGATCCATGAGACTCTGCGTAGACTCATGCTGGCTAATAGATCATGGTGTCCCTAAGGGACGGGTATTCATAGAACTTATTTTCCACATTGAGCTCCTTTCGAGAGTGAAAAGGTGTGCTAGTAATGATTACATGGGGACAAGTGGTATACACGGGGACCATCCCAGTCAAACTGACGCCTGTGGTCACCCTACTGAGGCTGAGACAGAGGAGCAGCCATTCAGGCTATTGCTTGATTTGTAGAACCAGAAAAAATAGCTGGTGAGCAGAAGGCTGACTGTGGTCACCATAGGGAAAGATCATAGATCCTCACCTCATTTCCAAATCTAAGTCGCATCTGGCCC